GATTCTGTCGTTGGTAAACACTCTTCTGATAGCTTACTAGGTTTAGCAGCGTCTGGTCGTCTTTCCTTACTATATGGGACAGTGGTACAGCATAGTAAAGAAAATACAATGAAAATTTCTGCTCCTCGTAAACTGCATCGTTCTTTGCATGTCGAAATACACTCGTATGTGCGTAAAAATACAATGTCGGCGAAAAAAATGGAAAATAAACTCAAGCACACGTAATAGCGTTAAAAAAATTTTATGTTTTTTTAAACAAAAACACAAATATATAAGCGTATTAAAACTGTTTTTTTTTAATATTATATATCGTCAAAAAGAAAGGTCGAGATAATATAAAATGTCGAGTAGTGCCTTACGTGCAATAGTCGTTTAAATGTTCTGGAGATCTTACTTTTCTTTATTTACTTCTACAAGTTCAAATTCCTGCAGTGCAACACCCAGTTACAGTAACTGTGCAAAGACTAACAGGAAAAATATTCATAACACCTAAAATAACTGACAGCGCACTGAATGACAATAAATTCAAACCTTGCAAACCATCGCCAGTATGTTCAACAACACTCGACTTTCTCCAAAGTTCGAAAGAGCTGAGGCAAACTACAAACCTTGGGAATAAACGTCTGGAACATGTAACATATACATCAGGTATAAAAAGTACTTCAAATCATAAACGGCCACTTGGTTGCACACATAGACCTGATAGTCTTCTTTGTCCAACTCCCAAGATGCTAATTATGCCTCTATCGGATGTTATGATCAGTGAAAGTCAGGATACGTTTTTGCAATTCCTCCAGCTTTTCTGCCAGCAACGGTAAATACATTAAAAATGATCGCAAAGTTGTTCAATCAACTCCCCCATAACACAATTCTTACCTCATTCAATCCCACTAGTATTTGTTATGACTTTAAGTTGTGGTTGATTTTTACCCTGTGCTAATTGTTGTGTCCTTGACTGGAAAATTAGAGAGCAGCGTACTTATCGATCGATTCAATGACACGTAAACACGTACGGACGGCCTAGAGTCTCTATTGGTCTCGCTTCCCTGTCAAGCCCAGTCAGTTGAGTCCAGAACACAAGTCACAGCCTCTGAGATATGAATCATTATATTTCAAACATACTTTGTTTATATACCAATCAAGCATGCCACATCGTACCATAAAATAGAAAACAACATTTTGTACAATATTCAACAAGTGAACAGATACCGACGATAGGAAATGTCCATTTAAAGTCCAAGGACACCATTGGACTTAACATGATAATTATTGGTCTATTCCTCCGCATCCACAACAGTATTCACGGAAAAACTACTTGTGATCTACCGGACACTACGTGGAGTTCCACTTCGATACCAGATCGATAATAACATGTTATTCGAAACACTACAAGTGTGTGGATGGGTCCAACTAGAACGAAAGCCAACTAGGAAGAATAATATACTCGATTTATTATTTACAATCAACATACTCTTTCTCAGTGCTCATTGGTCATGAATTTTTATAAGCGATCATCTAGTCGTTTTGAGTATTATTCATTCCCTAACACTATGCAAGTGAACTTTAAAGCTGCAACAATGTACCAGAGCAGGCAATTCGATCAACAAACGTGGAAGCGCACTGAAACTCTTATTCCATGCTTGCCACAAAAATCCTATTTCACCACAAATAATATTGACACTGCGCTTTCCAGCTTACACCACAACCTGACACATAGCCTTGACTGTACTGCCCTAGTTATCATGTCAATATGAGCCAGAATACTTCTAAAATTTGTAAGAGAAGGCTGAGAAAACCGATTATCGCTACCACACACATCATGAGATGTATGCACATTAGAGTATACACAACGTGACTGACAGAAATGACTCATCTAGACACAAGTAACTTATGACCATGGAGAATAAAGCCATAAGTAGTAAGAGCTGAGTTATCATCACTTCGGCTTATCAAATGCCGTGTGCAAATGAATTCGATTTGCACAAACAAATTCGTTATAATGGGCGGGAACATTGATGCCGACCCTGATAGTATTTGTGAACAATTCAGCCAGCTACAACACTGGGACCAAAACTACTATTAATGCATTTCCAATGTTGACATCTAACCTGATTAGCACATCTCAACATAGGTTTATGACTAAACACTCAGGCTTCACATCACCCCTAAAATTATTTGATCAAATTACCCACAGAAGAGATGTTGGTCTGCCTGTGATAATTCTGTACTTCCATTTTAATTATGCCTTCGGCGGTGTCTTACACAAACCGCTTCTTCTAAAATGTTCTTCACTTGGTATACGCAATCCCCTTTCATCATGGCTCAAATCTTTTTTTGCAGAACGTGGCCAAGTCATCCACTTGGGATCTTGCTACTCTAATTCTGTGAATGTGTGGTGACTCACATTTATCACGAGAACACAACTGGTTTAATGAAGACAATTATTATTATAACCAACTGTACCAGTGTTTGTTTTAATGTGCTTACACTTTGATTGTGACTTCGCGCGAATCTGGTTACGTTCTGTAACCAGGCTTGTATCCTGGCACGATCTCGGTATCCTTCCAATACCACGAGATCGCCAGCAAATATATCTCGACTTGGTCCATTAACTGCCTTCTGATATTTGGCTTCTCGGGGATTTTATGGATTTATTTGGTTACGTTCAACCTACGCCTCCTGATTTACTTGGCGCGTGTTTCTTGGTAGCGGTGTTCATAGTCTACCGCGACTCGATGCCACGCTACAAATGTAACCAGTGGGGTTATACTAGAAAGTGTGATTGGCTCATTACTCTTTCTCCTCTTCATCAGTAACGTGTTTCCACTCTTTCAATAAGGTAAACCTTTCCTCTATGCTGATGACTTGAAAGTAGTTCATCCATTCTCTCCTACCAAAGAAATATATATGCTTTATTTAGAGCTTAGATTCTTGATGTACCGCGTACTACTTGGGACCACGAAAGCTAGATGAGCGAGAAAGGATTTTATTCCAAACACTATCAAATATGGTACAAAACCCCCATGTATTTATGGTTTTTAGTAGGAGCGAAAAGCAACGTATCACCATCGAAACTCTTTCCATTCATTTTATTTTCTTCTTACTGATCTTGATATGTGAAGCCTGTTTATGTTTAAATTTATTATTATTGTTATCACGATTGATACCCTGACACATCATGTCAGCTTTTTTTTCGGTACAGTCGAAATACATGAGTCTCACAATTACGATACCTCACCCGATATTCGACAATCACGATGATACTTCGGTGGTACCTGACAACTGACCTAAAACAATGAGCTTTGATGGAAGGCTAAGTTCTCAGGAACATTTGAACGACTAATGCACGTAAGACAACAATATTTTGTCCCATCTCGTTATTATCATTACTTTTTGGCATCATTTGTATTAAAAAAACCGAGACCAAACTTCGTTCCTAGTAATCTAGCATTCTCATTGTACCCGTTTCCTCAATACTATACTGTACCATATGGCCTCTTACAGTAGGAAAAAAGGACCTGACACTGCTGAACATAGCAAGCTATCAGAAGAGTGTTTACCAACGACAAACTCGTTGTGTTTGGACTTCTGACTGGCCACGCCTTAGGGTCATCATTACCCCACTAGTGGGAGGAGTGAGCTGTAGCGGTAAATAAATCCCCGAAATCAATAGCTTCGTAAGTCTTCAACATTTGATCCTGACCGCATTATTTTTACTGGATTCACCTAGTTGAAGGTGCTCGGTTACGAATCCGCACCAGATCGCGAGTGGGTACACTGTGCTACGCATCCCTTTCAACTGTTAGTCAGCTTAGACCAAACGTTCCTCAACATACCGATAGCCTATCAAATATATCTTCGAACCACTTCGCGTCTGACTGCTGATTTGACTGGGTTGGGATACTTCGAATATGAAGTTGTTATTGGTAAAGACATTGCCAAACTCCAAATACCTGCGAAATCTTTAAGATCACCAAAACGAATATTGAGCAAACAGAAACAGAACTCATTACAGAAAATCAGACATATAGGATACAGTTCGGAAAGCGTAAATCAAATCGACCACTAAAAAGTATGCAACATTTGAGGGACAACAGATATTCAACATATTTGCTTCACTATGACCGATTTTGTGAAACCTCGTTTACTGTTTTCAACCAAAGAGTAAGAGATGAAGGTAAAACCTCGAAGCAGATGTCTGTCATGTCCTTTAAGTGGAAGTGTAAAGCATCCCGACCACCTTCCGTTATCCCCATAATCAAACAAAGCACAAACGATGGCTTCTGTGATTCAGCTGTCAGTCATATACAATCTCTCGTATCTTACACCGATCGGCACTTAGAGAGGACATGAACTATGTCAAAAAGCAGAGTAGAAATAATGATACTAATAACAGTAGCAAAATAGACAGAGAATACAGTAGAAAAAGAAAGTACAAATGGGGAATGAGGTATGGAATAACACTGTTTACAAGATATCAAGGAACACAAAGAATTATAAATCACAATTAAAATGTATGCATTACCCAATACAGCCTTTGACTTTATGAACTGTTACCACATCTTGATCTAAAACAATTTTCGCGATCTACCTTTCTTTTCAATACTTAAACAACGTCCACAATTTTTTACAATAACAGTTGATCTTACCTGTGCTGTAGACGTAAAGTAATAGATCTTCATCCTTGTTCTGCAAATCTCTCAGAATCAATACCACTCACAGAAAGTCTGAAACACTCAAATATACACACTTATTTCACCACATTTCTATTGTTACAACATTGTTCGTTGTCACTATCACAGAAACAGAGGACCAGAATGAAAGAAACTCCAATACCCCATTGTTGTCACGACCATTTATTCTACATTTTTCAACGCAACGTTTCTAATTTGACGTAAAAGGTTAAATTAGTACAATACAGTAACTCGAAACATAAACCTCGATTGTCAAGGTTAACAAAGTTGGGGGTGGTGTGTTACATAACCATTTAGTTGAGCTAATTAGGAACTATTACGCAAACATGCAGTGTGTAATTTATATACTGTCTGTTTAGAAAAATACTTCACTTCAGTACAAGCACAAGATAAACGCTCATTTAATTGGCGTACTACAGACTGTGATGAACTATCGCTGAATATTGGAACGCGTGGATAAACTTTAATTGTCTGCAACAAGAAAATATGAAAATTTTACTTCGTAATTCGTCCTACGTACACTTCATCCTGGGCTCCCAAGTTTAGGGAAATTTTGGGGAAACTCCCGAAGTCAAATGACCTTCACCAACGTTTGGGGAATTCCAGGGAAATCCCCAAAGTCAAATGACCCTGACCAAAGTTAAAGGTGAATTTTGGGGTTTTTGTGCCATTTCACCGAAGTTCACTATAGAGGCTTCCCCAAAATGGGTCAAATTTTCCCCGAAATTGGGAGCTCGGGATTCTATCTAAAATGGTGAGATGAATCGGACTGGTTTATTAACAGGAAGTGTGACAAGCTTCCAATTTCATTTTATGGGAAGTCCTCATTGCTTATTATTTGTTGTAGTTCACTTTAGTTAAATTTCAGGAAGATATCAGTGTAGGTATGCCGATTTCTTCCTCTTTACATTCCCTAAAAAACTAATGAGCTTTTGTCTCATATTGAATGGTAGTCTATTGCTGATGGTTTCATGATTAATTTGTCTAAATGTCAAACTGTTGACTTTAGCTTGAGACAGGAACAGCATCTAAACACCCTGTTGGAAGCCCATAATGTTTGTATCATTGAAGGTTCCTTGATAAACACAGCATCGAAGATCAATTATTTCGGTGCAACTTTTTCCTCCGATCTCTGTTGGTTTTCACATGTTTTATTACTATCGAAGAAAGTATTCCGTCTGACTTACATAAAGAGACTACATGCTTTTGGGATTACTCGACACTTACTCCTACAGTTTGTCAGTTCTTGGATATTACCTATTATTATTTCCTGGGCTTTTGAGAAAACGCTGCTGTATTGCGGAGAAAGCCGAAAGCAGTTAGCAGGGTATGTGGTGAATCTTTTGAGGTCATTATTAATATGGTTATGGATAGACATCTAAAAACTTGCAAACTCCTGGCAGGTGTTATCAGATACTAACCATCCACTCCATTCATATTTTTCTCCTTGTATATCTTTTGGTAGAACGAAACGTCAAGACATTGGAATCCACTAACGCAAGCAAAAGTATTAAAGCTCTACAATGCCTTACCTAGCAAATATACTATGTAACGAACAAGTTACTGGAGTAGGTCTATTCAACAACTTTTATTCTTAAACATGTTTTTAGGTGAAAAAGTTGCACCGATTCAAATCTTTAAAAGAACATTATAGGTAGTTTATCTACTTAACTTCTGTAAATATGTATGAAGTTGTCACTTTCTCTCACTTTTTTTCTCTTTTCGTAGAACAAACTTGTTGAAATACCTTGTGCTAATAATTCTATATTGTACCAAAAAAATAATATTGAATAAAGCCATTAGTAATAATAAAACAACTTTATAATCAATCACTCATCTCATTAATGCGATAAAAACCTAGTTTATAACCCTGCTTTTAATTACTGAGCTCCTTACTATTACTCCATATCTTGTTTGATATTGAAGGAATAGGTGATGGATAGATGTTGATTTAACAGCTACTAAAACTACACAAACGATAGAATTTTTTCTAAACCAAGGGATTGGTGACCCTACATTAAGTGAATCGCATAATGCAAGTCAAACTCACATCTGCAACTGGTTCATCGCAATTTATATAAAAATTCACCAAAATCATAACAAAACAGCAATCAAAATCAAAGAAATACTAATACGCAACTTCAAGTAATAAACATAGCGAAAAATAAAAACAAGAATTAGGAAATAAAGAACTGACTCCCACGACTTTATATAAATGCCGAATTGCTTATGACTGATAGTCCAATATCGGTATCAAAATTAGGTACATATTATTGATAATACACAAAATATGAAAATAAAAATGTATATCAAAGTCTAGCATCTTTAAATATACGCCTCATGGTCACACTCACTCCGGAACGACTTTGACATGAATTAGAAAGATAATTTATACTAAACCGATAGGGTGAAATTCCGCACATAGAGAAGTCAATGATGTGTTCTGTTTCCACTTGTGAGCTACCTAAAGATGGAGCATAAGCTGAGGGAGAGTTGAAGTGTTCGAGAATGTTGCACAATTCATCTCTTAGTTGACTGCTAATTTGACGACGATGATCCTCTTTTTCTGTGGTAAACAATCAGTTTGAAACAATAGTTGTTAGAAGACAATCGATGAAAGGAATCATAAGTGATAAATCACCCCAAAACAATAAAATGAAACATCATGTAACTGAGTGAAAACTTAAAAATTTTCAACTCTTAGACTAATAACGTTGTACCAAACCGCCCATAAAAAAAGACTTTAAGTCAACACTGTTTAATATTATACACGTATATGCCGACTGCTTGATAAAACGCGTAACAATCATTTGAGCCTATTTCAGATAACTAACAACCAAAAGTGAGTGTGAATTTACTGTTTCTTGAAGAAGTGACTGTTTTTGTAGTATTTAAGAATGTTCTAGGCATTCTGCAAGAAACTGTTCTTGTTATATTCTTATCACAGTAACTTCATTTTGATAACAATCCAACCAAATTATAACGTTTTTGCACTCTCTGTAAATCCTCATACTCGTCTTCTAGTTTCGTTCAAGCTGATGGAAATCCTCCGATATTTTATGTTCTTCACGTAGCTAAGACAAAACGATTATCATCACAAAAGCCGACAAAGGCAACACAACAGTAATCATGAATAAAACAGATTATATTAATAAAGCTCTTGAACATCTCTCAACAGGACCTTATGAAAAGATCAATCCAAAACTTCTCTAACGATTAAGAATAAAGTCAAATTAGAAACAAATCAACTTCTGAACGAGCTAAAACCAATGATTGGGGTCTCGCTTTGGTTTGCGTTGCATCCCAAATCATGTAATGTCTCAGGGTTTTATGGCTTACCAAAAATTCATAAACCAGATATTCCTCTAAGACCGATAGTAGACTTCACAAACACCCCAACATATGCATTTATTTATTTATTATTTATTTGAACACATGAATATTGGTACAAGAGAGCGCCAATATATATGCGCCACACAAAACAATGAGAATTCGAAGAGAAATAGAAAAAAAAGCTAAGGAGCGCAAAAAAAAAGAGAACAATAACGAAGAGGTTGGTGTAAGGTAGTGTAGTAATAATAATAGTAATAATGAGGGAACGGAATGGTACAATCAGAAGAAATCTTTCAGGTAAGGGAGACACAACCACTTTTTATGAAGAAAGTAAAAGAAGGTTACAGCAGGATCGCCACTGGCTTCTATTCTGAGCCATATCTGATAACGTCTCTAGCCACTAATGACATGGCTCAAAATCGTTTGCAATGGCGCAGGTGCATCCACTCTGTGTTCTCCCAAATTCTAATCTTCTGAATCCTTCATGTCCCTTTTTCCTCTTTCCAAATTTATTTCACTGTATTATACTCTTTAGGTAACATCTCCAAACCCTAATCTTCCCGATTACTGCTTATACTCTTATTACCTCTACCACTACGGGATTTGAATCGACAATTGCATCTCTGTGCTAATATGGTGTGGCAACTCGAACTGATGTACGTACGTACGAAGTTCTACGTTGTTACTGACTGACTGACTCTAGCCACTGTGTAGTACCATCTCTCAGACCCCAACCAGGGAGTCGTGAAGGACCGACACAAGCCAGTCCTTTGCAGCTTTCTTTCATGCCACGACACCATGTCATGCACTGACCACCTCTCCGCTTCTTCCAACCAGTCCCAGAGTCGGCAAATAATGCACGACGTGGAATTCTCTGGGACGACATTCGTAGAACATGTCCAAGCCACCGAAGTCGGTGTTTCAAGATGGTGACACCAATTGAGTTATCATCTCTGTGCCCGAACACACGATGCCGAACCTCTGCATTACTGACATGGTGTTGCCACTGAATGTCAGCAATCCTTCGGAGACAGCGATGATCGAATACAGAGAGTCGTCTAACGTCCTCAACTCGGACAGACCAGGTTTCACAAGCATAGAGCAAAACTGCTCTCACCGACGCGTTGTAGATCCGACCTTTTACAGTCACCACCATCTTTAAAAAGAGTCGGAGGTAAGTCATCTGGGCCAGGTGATTTGTAACGCTTCAAGAGTTGGAGTTCCTTGCGGACTTCCGTCTCATTTGGTGGATCAGTCGTCACCGGCCATGGAGGGCAGGACAGTCTGACCGATGTTGCCGGAGCAGCAGGCCAGTTGAACTGCCCTTCGAAAAATCCTGCCCATCGTCCAAGACGTCGATGGATGTTAGTGATTGGCATCCCATCATCGTCGCAGATTGTCTCACTCACACCAGACTTCTTGCTGCCAGTGGCTCGGACGAGTTTGAAGAGCTTCCGGTAGTTACCAGATGCAGCTGCTGCTTCCAGCTCATTAGTACGCATCGACCACCAGGCTTCTCGGTCCTTACGCAAGCTTTGCCCAATTCCCTTACGTAACATCCTTCGTTTATGGTCAAACTCACAGTCACCGGAGTAGACCGACGGGCTTCAATGGGTTGTAAGGAACCTGCAGAAACCCAGTGCTTATAAGCGGGACGTTTCGCGAACCCACAACTGACTGTACCCGCCATTCTCATGGCGTCATGCAATTGCAACCAATGCTCATCTATACTTTTTGGTGGAGTGGTAGCTAGCCTAGAGGCTAGCTCGATTCGGTACTTACTTGCAACAGAAGTTGCAACCAGCTTGCTAATATCAATCCTTTGCTGGTGGTCACTTCGTTGTCCACTGAAAAGTAAGGCAAGATTGGCGCAGACCAAGGCATGATCAGAGTCCAGATAGGTACTACAAAAGGAGCGGCAGTCTTGTACACAACCACGCCAGCGGTAGCTGATCGCGATGTGATCAATCTGAGTCCAGGCTTGAGATGCAGAGGGAGGACGCCATGTGGCACATCGGCGATGTGCCAATCCATGGCATTTCATTCGAATCATTATTATAATGTAATAAACTGTTTTGTTTTAATATGCTTCTAATAATCTTCATAGGAAAATTATTAAATTGTAAGATGCTAACTATATTCATTTGTTCTTTTTGTTTGTCTTGCTCTGATGTGATGATCTTGTTAGCTCTTCTAAAAGATTTAAGGCTAGCGAGATCTTTGCACTGAAAGGATGTGCTGAATGGAAGTCAATATAACGATCTGAATGTGTCGGTTTTCGGTAAATGGATAGGTTTAGACTTCCATTTGGATTTCTTTTTACTAAGCAATCCAAGAATGGTAGCTCACCATGTACATTTTCATTTTCATTCGTGAATTTGATGTGCGATGAAAGTGTATTTATTCGTTTTGAAAAAGATCTTAGATGAGTCTTTTTTATAACAACAAATGTGTCGTCTACATATCTAAGCCAAATTCGTGGTATAATGTTGTGGGCGAAGATATTTGATTCTATGTATGCCATAAAAAGGTTGGCTACAATCGGGGACACGGGGGATCCCATCGCTACACCGTTAGTTTGTTTGGATAACATACCGTTAAAAGTAAATAGCGTTGAATTTAAGCAAAGTTTTAAGGATTTCATGATTAGACTGATGCTCAACGAACATATGTCAGGAAGAGTATTGTCGTTCTCAAGTAAACTACTAATTAATTCTAAGCATTTATCCATGGGAACACTTGTGTATAAAGAAACGACATCAAAGCTTACCATGATTTCATTCTTTTCGATGATTAATCCGGATAATTTTGATTTAAAGTCATATGTGTCTTTAATTATATTATGTAAGTTGAGTTGCAATGGTTTTAATATGTTGCTTAAATATTTTGATAATGCATATGTTTCAGAACCATCAAAAGAAAACAATGCAAGTCACTATAAAATCAACAAAAAGCAACAAGCCTGAAGTTTCCTAATATCAAAACTCAAAAAATTAACAAGTTCATGTACTTCTGTAGGGTTCTCTTTCTGATTAACATCATAGATTAATGATTTTTAATACAACTCCATGCATGAAAATCACCCAAAATTGGGCATAAATTGAGCCACCTTGTAACTCGAATAAACTGGCAACTGCAAAACACAATTGCCACAATCCAAAATAATCACCAATAGGAAAACTATAGCAGACGATCTCTAAGAAAGGTTTATTAGAGTGGAATTTCTAACAGTTCTGCTACGACGTTGTTTATCGCGATTCAGTAGTTCTACGTAACGGATCACTAAGTGTTTACATCCCAGAAACATACTAAATAGCTTTTTTTATGACAAATACCATTGTTTAGATCGAAATCGGTACAGGTTTGTACTCAACTGAAATTATGTCAAGTATCCTGATAAGTGTAGCCAGTGAATACTAATGTGAGGCATTTGGAATATACCCCAGTTGCCCATATTTCGATAACATGAGAACGATACGAACTCAAAGACTAATTATTGATAGCATAGTGACTAAACCACTCATTGAACTGGACATTAATTCAGTAACGTATCAACACCCACTGAATTCCAGATAAAATAAAGATGCTCAAAAACATCTAGGTTACCATTCGCACTGACGCTTTTCAGAATCACATTTACAATCCAACGTTCCCAAGTCGCGGCTTCTGGTCCCAACCAAACCCCTTTTCTGTGAACCACAAACTCCAAGTTAATTGCACCACGAACTTCGCCATTATTGTTAGATGAACAGCTATCACGATGCATGGCTTCAACAAAGGCTGAAACTGAAGTTGCCACTTTTTCGATAAGTTGGTTGGAGTTTATACATACCTGGTAGAAGTTTGAACAGAAGCCAAACAAACTGTAAATTATATGCAGCAACACTCATTCAACAGACTATAATCAGCATGAAATTACATTATACGACCTTAATAAAGTGGACAGTTCAGAAAGTTATTAACGGGATGAAACGTGTATAGTTTGGTTGCTGAGGAAGCGAAAAAGTTTTTTTAATCGACAGTGATCCATGCTGTTAGTCAATTATGAACAACATAAGACCTGGGAAATATGGTCATCGGTATCAGCAGAGCGGGCTGAAACTGTTCAGATAAAAGCCAAAGTACTAGATGTAATAACAGTATCAGTGGTGGTAAGACCATTTGGTATAGAAAATGATTTGAAAATTCGGGGAATAAGTCAGGGATAGCTTTAAAACTCGAGACCTAAGGGATGACGAGTGAATGCATATGGGCCATAGTGACAGATATTGACTAATGCTATCCGTCTTCAACCATTAATTTCAATAATCGCATGAAACTTAACCATGTAATCTGTAATAACTAATACAATTTAATCTGAAAGTCAATGACTTCATGGACCGATGCTACATCTTGTTTTGGCCCCCATAGCTTTTTTCCAACCGAACTCCACATCGGCTAAATCTATTAGAACACATAATATCAATACCTGTTGGCATATCCGAATAGTAATTGAACCTTTATAGTAGTACAAATTGCGAGGGTTAATATAGTTTGCTTGATCTATCCTTAAAATCGAACGCTGAGTTAAGCGGTGACTGGGAATGATGAATTTGGCTCCTATGATCAGGCGATAACGAAAGAATAAATGTTTATTAACATCATTTACGTCAGGTCAGGTCAGCAACAACGTAGAACTTCGTACGTACGTACATCAGTTCAAATTGCCATACCACATTGGCACAGAGATACAATTGTCGATTCAAACCCCACAGTGGTAGAGGTAGTAGGAGTATGAGCAGTAATCGGTAAGATCATGGTTTGAATATGTTATTCAAAGACTATAACCCAGTAAAACAAATATGGAAAGAGAAAGAAGTAGACATGAAGAATTCGAGAGGACAGAGTGGATGCACCTGTGCCACTGCAAACGATTTTGAGTCATGTCATTCAAGGTCTCTAACCATCGGTTGCTATCGTCTCGAGTACGTACTTGGTCATTTAGTTGTGTAGACAGATAAAGTATACAGACAGTATAGAGTAGATTTATCTCAAGTTGTCATACTGACTATCTCAATCCATCTAAAAAGCCAACAATTTTTTATGAATTTGACATTTCGTTTTGTTACAAATTACTGAAAATGAGCTTGCTTACAAACATCTTAACTAATTAATCTTTTAAACTATAGTGTGAATGTCTTGTTTTCTCACGAATATAATTCTAGAGGACTTTTTTATACATTTTTGTAAGGACCCCCTTACTCTACACGCAATTCGAAAGTGAAACGAAAACAGTAATTAACCTTTAAAAAAAGGAATAGTGCTCCTAAATTCCAGGGAGAGTGGAAAATCTGGTTCTTACTGTTATGCCCCAATAATATTTTTCCTTCGGTCTTATTTAACACCATCTAGAACTAGAGTTGAACACTCTGAATGTGCATAAATGGAGTATCAGTTCGGACGTGACGATATGAGATAGATGAGCCAAATATTATATTTGAATTACTTTAAAATAAACAACCTGAAAAAGTTGGCTCGTCGAGTTAAGCACGATATGACTCAACTACATATGCTTTCCTTGCCAATGGTAATAACAGTCAACCATCATTAACCAATCATTGATACCTAAATAACACTATATTTACATAGCCCTATGAATCCATAGACCGCATAAAAGTTTGAGTCCTAGTGGAAATTCCAGCCCACAATAAGTATATGTAGCCCGTCTTTTTACTGGTCTGTGCATACAGCAGACGGAGTAACTCTCCAGTCACTAGAAGGCAGTTCATTTGACTCCCCAATCCGTTTAAAAACAGGATGTGCAATTTGCTTCCTCTTATGCAGATGCGTTACAAATATACAGTCTTTCTCAATGTGATTCACTGTCACTCAACCCGAAATACAGTTACTTACCTATCCTTGCTTACCAACCACTGAATCTGTACAGGTGACTAAGAAAACTGTCGTTCCGTTGATAACCTGGCAAGATACTGGGCCCTGACGGGTTACATCCACGGTTGCTGTCATCACTTGCGGAAATTATTTCAAAACCGCTTGCGACACTCTTCAACACGTCCCTTTCACTCGCTCAACTCCCTAGAGATTGGAAGGACGCTATAGTCAGTCCTATATTTAAGGACAGTCAGAGACAGATAGTATCTAACTACCGGCCTGTTAGTCTAACTAGCATAGTCGTTAAGTTACTTGAAAAGATAATTCGGGTTAGGTTGCTAAGCCACATAGCTTCACACAATCTGTTAGCTCCTGAGCAACACGGACTTCGTAACAAGCGTTCTTGCTTGACTAACTTGCTTATTGCGAGGGAGGATTGGACAGCAGCCCTAGATAACAGTCTGTCTATCGATGTGATATTCATAGATTTCAGCAAAGCATTTGACAAGGTTTCACACATAGGTCTTATGCAGAAGCTCACGACCTTCGGAATAATAGGTACTGTACATGAGTGGATAAGAAATTTCCTATGTGACCGCAGACAGAGAGTGAGGGTCAACGGAACGCTATCCGATTGGAAGCCGGTCAAAAATGGTGTACCTCAAGGCACCATTTTAGGCCCTCTGCTCTTCTTTCTCTACGTTAATGAGTTACCGCTGTTACTTAGGTCGTCGACATTATTGTTTGCGGATGATGTAAAAATCGGGAGAACAGTAAAAAGTGCGGCTGATCATCTGGATCTTCAAGCTGACTTAGACGATTTAGTTAGATGGGCTCGAGAGTGGGGCTTAGAAATCAATGCTAGGAAGAGTGTGCTAATGCACATTGGTCACGATAATAGTTACCGTTATACTATTGGGGGCAAACCTCTTCCATGCGTTCAACAGCATAAAGACTTAGGAGTAGTATTAAGTCATTATTTAAAAACAACCACGCATTGCAAAGCAGCCGTTGTCAAAGGTTTTCGTGCGTTATGGTCACTTCCCCGAGCGTTCAAATCTTTTGACGAGGAAACGTTTCGAATTTTATATCCCATATATGTTAGACCACATTTAGAGTACTGTATCCAAGCAGCTAGCCCGTGTTTGGTAAAGGATACTAACTCTCTTGAGCGTGTCCAGCGTGTGGGAACGAAATTAGTGAAGTGTCTTTCTAGACTCTCTTACGATGAGCGTTTAAAACGCATAAATCTTTTCCCCTTGTCGTATCGTAGGACACGAGGTGACCTTATACTGGCATTTCGTATCTTTAATTATGATTTGGGTGTTAATATGTCTTATCTTTTTGTTCCCTCTAGCACTAATAATCTCCGAGGTCATAGCAAGAAGGTTCATAAACCACGATCTAATAAACTTAAAGTGGGGTCCCGTTTTTCTCATCGAGTAGTCAATCATTGGAACGCCTTAGTAATATTTATGTCTTCAGTCTTCAGTAATAAGGATAAGGATAGGAGGTCTATCGACCTATATTAATCCTTGCAGTTTGTAATACTGTGGAGGTCCAATCTCGTTTTGAATATATTAACAGACGGTGCTGATATTACGTGTTCCGGTAGAGAATTCCAGTAATTCACTACTCGGTGCGAGAAACGGAACTCCAGACGTAAACGGTTTGATCTCGGTTTTTGAACTTTCTTCGAATGTCCTCTCAAATGATCGGTTCTAGACGGAAGCAAAAGATAAGACATGTTAATACCAAGGTCATCGTTCAGTATACGATAGGCCAATATTAGATCACCCCGTATTCTACGGTAAGATAACGGAAATAAGTTAAGGTGTCTCAGTCTGTCTTCATAAGATAGGCCAGATAGACCTTGTACCATCTTAGTAGCTCGTCGTTGGACTCTTTCTAGCATATCTGCTTCATATTTGAAACAAGGACACGCTGCTTGAATCCCGTATTCTAAATGTGGTCGCACATAAATCGGGTATAGTAATCTAAACATTTCATCATCTAAATACTGGAAAGACCTACGAATTGACCATAATACCCTATAGCCTTTTGCAGCAGCAGCCTTACAGTGACTAGTCGTTTTGAGATCATTGCTTAATATGACTCCTAAATCTTTATAGTTTCTTGCTTTGGGTAGCACGAATCCACGTAGTGTATAGTCATACGATTCATCAGAGTTATTTAACTGCATCACTACACTCTTATTAGGATTTACTTCTAGTGACCACCTGTCTAACCATGCCACCAATGAGCTAAGATCGTCCTGTAATACTATTATATCCGACATACTATGTATGGGTCTCCAAATCTTTATGTCATCAGCGAAGAGTAGAACGGATGATTTTGCTACAGTTGGCAATTCATTTACATAAAGTAAAAAGAGAAGAGGACCTAGGATTGTACCTTGGGGAACCCCACTTTTTACAGGTACCCACGAGGAGAGAGCCCCATTAACCCTTACCCTTTGTCTCCTGTCATGGAGAAAGTTACTTATCCAATCGACGACTGTATAATGGATTCCAAAACGTTTCAGTTTGAATTTAAGACCAGAGTGGGAAACCTTATCAAAGGCTTTACTTAGATCTATGAAAATCACATCCACAGGAGCATTCCGATCCTTTGCCGCAGCCCAATCTTCTCGTGCAATGAGAAGATTTGTCAAGCAAGATAGGCCTTTCCGAAAACCATGTTGTGCCCTGGAGAAAAGATTTTGCCCTTCAACATAGTTTATAACAGCTATCCGAATGATTTTCTCCATCAGTTTTACAACTGCACTAGTTAAGCTAACGGGTCTATAGTTACTAACTAAATCCCTACTCCCAGCCTTATACACCGGACTTATTATGGCGTCTTTCCAGTCTCTAGGAAGTCTGGACTGTCTCAGAGACATGTCGAATAGTATCGCTAATGGTTCAGCAATTTCATCTGATATGGCTTTCATAATCCTAGGATGAATATCATCAGGACCACTGGACTTATCAGGTTTGAGATGCTGAAGTAGCCTTAAAACAGTATCTTTCTCAATGACTACAGGATCCATCAGCGAGCCGTCACGGTCGCGATGAATCATTGGTCGTTCCTCATTACCGATAGAAAACACTTTACTAAAATATTCCGATAAAGCTTCAGCTTTTTCGGCATCATTCTCTGCTAAGATTAACGGATTATCTCGTATCAAAAGTGATGGAATTCCATCGCTTCTCTTAGTTCGCCTTTTTATATACGAGAATAACCGTTTCGGACTATATCTAGAATCCCTAACCAATTGTTTTTCGTATGATAGTCTAGTCTTGCTTATTAACGCTTTACAGGCATTCCTAATCTTACAATAACTGGATCTGTATTGTTCTAAGCCAGTAGAGATGAACATATTCCAGTGATTCTTCCTTTTTCTAAGGAGTTTCCTGACCGTTTTAGTTATCCATGGTGGACTATTATTCGGTCTTCGCGGTACCAGGTATGGTATGAACGGGGACGTAACTAGTCTAAATTTACCTTTAAATACAGACCATGCTTCTTCAACTGATATGCTAGTATCTACTAACCAATCTGTCTTAGCAGCACATTCCTGAATGGCTGATATGTTAGCTTTCCATACATTTGGGCGAGGTGTAACCTGATCGTATAACATGTCCCTAGTTCTAAACGCGAATGACAAAACAGCGTGATCGCTGTTCACTAACGGTGGGAGAATATTTAAGTCGACAATATCCTCAGTCTCATGAGTGATTACCAAATCCAGCAGAGAAGAACCCTGGTTAACACCAAAACGTGTGGGTTGGGATACATGCTGCACTAGTGCATGCTCCATTATTGTTATCAGGAACCTACTATCAAAGGAGTTTATAGATCCTTCTGTGGTCATATCAGTCCAACTAATATCAGGTGCGTTAAAGTCTCCTATTATCAAGCATCTGGTATTTTCACTCCAAAGATGAATGTGCTCTAAAACAAAGTCATCAGCTAAGCAGATTGGGCTCCGATAGATGACACCTAGCATAAATGTACTACATCCTATAGCCAACTTACAGCTAATGACTTCACAAGTGCCGCTATCATGGGATTCGCTAGTAGAGGAGCGGATATTTATGCTATTGGCTATATATAACAGGACGCCGCCTCCTTTTCTACATCTATGTCTATCACTCCTGATGCAATGGTATCCGGATAATTCTGGAGTAATGTCTAAGTCATCGACTAACCAAGTTTCTGTCACTGCTACTATGAGTGGCTTTAACCTGTCCACTAGTGCTTCTAGTTCATAGAACTTATTTCGTAGACTACGAGCGTTGGCATATAAAACTCCTAAGTAGAACAGCCTATCCACACAGGCCTTGGTAGCATTCGCTTCCAAGACCTGACTATCCGAAAACCCACTAGCCGGAGATTTTCCTCGCCGTTTTGCCGACGGGTTTCAAGTTCAGCTAGTGCTTTCTTCCTTTTTATTCTATCTTCGAGAGACATGTCAGGTCTAACTCGGATGTCAGAATTGTCGTGACAACGAGCGCTACTTAACAAGAGATCCCGTTGCTTCTCCGATCCTAGGATTACCTTAAGGAGTCTGCATGGACGGGGTTCAACATTGTCCTCGGTCCTCTTGCCTATTCTTACCAATTTTTTGACCTGAACTCCTTTGGAGTTATCTGGTAAAATACTACGAATGTATTCTCCTAGCTTTTCTAAGTCATGCGCGTGTCTAATTTTCGGATCAGGGTCGTTTGACTCCCGCAATTTGCTCACAATAATATTCGATGTTATTAGATTTTTCTTCTCAGTCACGCCAGGATGGGTTTCACTCTTACCATCAGATCTTGGTAGTGCAATTTGTGGCTCACAATTTGAGTCCACCAGTGAGTTACTAACTACCTGTGTACTGCTTACAGCTTTTTTCTTTTCGTTTCGTTTCCTACGTACCGTAGTCCATTTTTCATCCCTCATAACACTGGGACTATTTGGAACGGTGACTGTTTTATCCAGATCTTCGGTTCCCACTAAAGGTGCATTATTAACAATGTCAGTACCAGGTGGTACTACTCCCCCTGTTAATGTCAACGAAGATTTCACTTTTACGTCGGTCAGAGTCGGTTGTTTGAGGCGTCGCGTAACAGCAGGTACTACACTGACACATTCGTCACTGTCAGTGCCCGTGTTGTCAGCGCATATGCCATCGTTCTTCTTACAGGCCAAAGCCAATAGGCTCATAGCCTCCTGTATTAGTAATGCCTTGTTGGCACAGCAAAACATGCAAAGCCAATGTGAGTTAGGCTTCGAACATCTTTTGTATGCGGTGGGACTTAAACGGGTGCACATTTTGTGGAACCACTTATTGCATTCGTCACACTGCATTCCCTCCTCCACAGGGAACAAACAGTTTGGTTGTCCACATTTGTGAGTACTACCAACCATTTTAGTCTGATCAAGGTGTAACACACAATATGATCACAGTATGAACACAAATGTCAGTCAACGAATAAAAGGTTACCACAAGACAAACTTTAGCAAGATTTCAAACCTTAACTAAAGTACTTTGATACAGACCAAGAATGCTTCGAATGTAATAAATACACAAAAGCCAAAAAAACTCAATAGAATATCACTTTAACTGTAGTAGATTCAATTAAAGTGTAAATCGTAGTTTTGATACGTAATTTACGATCAAAACAGTTTACTAATTCAACGAGAAACAATACCACTGTCCTTTTTAGATAGCGCGCGTTCTTACCCGAACAAGTGGTATCAGCCCCATCAGTGAATACTTTCAAGAAGCTGGACCTTCACTGGAAGGCGATCTGTCAGGATTAATACAGGTTCACCAACCTACTATCCTTATTACTGAAGACTTATTTTGGGGACTAGTCGAGTGAGGTAATGTGTCCGTAAAAACCAAACGAGTAAGGGTATCTAAGTCGAATAATGAAAGACTTAACATGATACAAAGTTCATCACAACGATTAAGATTATTAAACAACGTTTAAGCGATCTTTGCATGGATTTACGTCCACTCTGAAGCATAAACGACGCCAGAACCACACAAGATACACCATAGAACACTCACTAGGAAGTATGGAACTTACGTAGGTCAAGTCAAGACTTTACAATCCACATCACATATACCAAGATAGGAATTGTAGCTCACTGCTCCTCCTTTAAAATCAAGCTGTATTGAAATAAAATAACCACATAAACTCACAGTCGGCAACGTCCTATGAAGTAAAATTGTATGAAATAAAGCTGAAACACAATGTTACAACAAATTAGATACCTGAAACAACATCCGAAATTTCAGGCTCTACAACAGACTATTAAAAGGATTAAAAAACTGAAAAAGCATACGAAGATAAAGGAATATTCTCTGCAGTTCATCACAGGTAGGTCCAGGTCAAATTCACCACCACGACCTTGAGTGGCATTGTTGAAGGCGACCATTCTGTATTTGTGGTGCTCGGAGTTGGGCACTGTGCAAAAGCTGGCTCAAAGTGTTTCCCTGGACTTTCGTACGTTATCGTGGTACTTATTGAAATCATTAAAAATAAGAACTACAGTTGGTGATCACATGCAAACTCTTATTTTAAAAGCATAAACGCTTATATAGACGTTTTCTATGGCAGAATACTGCCACAATTGGTATAATGACAGTACTGTCAGAGAGAAGATGTATTCATTAATATTAACCAAAATACTGGTTTTGAGAGGGAGATTGTCGCTGTGAAGTGTTCTGGACATTTCACTGTTGAAATACATCAATGTCAATAACAATAAATTATGGAATTAAGCTATTCGAAACTATTTCGTCCTTTTCTATAGTACGCAGAGTAATGACAAAGCCAACAGAGCCACTGACGAAAACAATTGGGTTGTTTCGTTCATAACCGTACTTTCAACGCTGGGAACTGGTACCAGATATATTAACTTCGCAGTTCACTGCTTCGACTTACGATCAAATTTGAAAAGGTTGATATAGGCCTATGTGTATGGGCCACGACATTTAGAATCATCATAAGTTTACAAAATGAACTCCAACGGTACTTTTAGAAGTTTCATTTCCAATACGAAAGGATGTACAAAATTGAGTATACAGTCGTGTGCATTTAATTATTTTGTGTTGAGTAACATAGTTTCCCTAATATCAATGTTTACTTCTGAACATATGGTTTCACCACACAATAGGTTATTCCTTGTTCTATGTAAAGGAGTTCTGTAGAATCTTATTACAAGTTATCTCCCCTGGAAAGCTCAATATACTAATGCAACTGTATCTATTGCCCTTGCTTTACGAGAGTTCACTGGAATACTGTAGACCAACGTCCATTAGTCGGTTACGCGACTTCCATTTCGGGAATCAGAATGAATACACTACTTTTCTTAGAACTTTTAATTATCTCTTTAGATAAGGTTATGCATGTCCCTGTACAATAAAGACGTTAATAAACCGAGTTATACTAAACTGTAACAATCTAAGTGGTTAATAGATGAGTACTGTATATCGGGGCGCGCATGTACTACATGGAAATAGGTTGTCGATATGATGATGACTTTGAGTAACATGAACATAACTGATTTATCCTAGTAGCTTGATTAGACACTATGAGTCTGTCACATTTGGTATCCCACAAACCTGTCGTAAGCATATATAATTTCAGTCACACCGGCCTACCTTCCCATATTATTGGGAATACGAAAATAATTGGTTATGGATTATTGAATATTTTCTTAGAACATTCATAATATAAAATGTACATTTGATTGCACGTTATCGTGAAACATGTTCTAAATTCAGCTTTCCAGATAGTTATCTGATAGAGATGTCACAGGTACTCAAAATAGTTCAAATGGTTGTGGACGGAATAGAAGAAGCTTTCGCTTAACAGGCTTCCGTGTCTAATAGCAGGGGATCACCAAATCCTCCAGGCAGGAACCTAGGTATGTTAACAATAAAAAAGGAAGAAGAAATCGGTAAATAATATTATGATACTATCCTTAATCCTTAAAAATAGATAAAATTGCCCCTTGAAGGACTCCTGACAAGTGGCTTGGACTAGCTTGGCCGGCAGCGAATTCCAGCATTTGGCAACTCTTAAGGAGTAGAAGTTGTGTCTACATTCCGTCTTGCTATATTGTGTTTCCAGTTCCTGGGTGTTACCCCTTAGTTTATTATTCGAAATAAGCTTAAGTAGGTGTTTAAGAGGATGTCCAGAAGTGTTAAGAATACTATAAGCCATTAATAAATCACCTCTAAAACGCCTACACTCTAATCGGTAAAGGTCTAGTGAATGGAGGCGTTCTTCGTAAGGTTTAGATTTGAGTTCTCGAACTGATTTCGTGGCTCGCCGTTCGATACGCTCCAGAGTGTCCTTGTCCTTCTAGAGTGAAGGAGGAAATACTCTGTTTCCGTACTCTAAATGGGGACGGATAAAACTATTGAAGATTGTATGGAAAGTTCGTCTGTCAAACTGTCCAAAAATGCGCTTCAACGTTACCAGTGCAAGGTTTGCTCGGAAGGCACTTTTGTCACAGTTGGCGTAAGACCTTAAATCATGGGGCACCAGGACTCCTAAATCCTTTTCGACTTGGGATACTACTAGCGAGGAGTTTCCTGAGTTGTAACTGTAGACTGCGACATGTCGCAGATGGACCAATTTACACTTTGAAGTGTTAAAGAAAAGTCCGTTATCGTCTGCTCAACTTTGAAGTCGAGTCAGATCCTCCTGAAGTGCGTGTATATCGTCTTGGTTGCGTATCTCTCTCCAAAGTTTCACGTCGTCGGCAAAAATAATAAGTCTGACGTTACCTGTTGAGGAAGATCATTAATGTAGATCAAGAAGAGAAGAGGTTCTAGTACTGAGCCCTCGGGGACCGCACTAGGACATTCCATAGCCTGAGATAAAGTGAAATTAACCATGACATTAAAGTGTCGATTTTTCAGGTATGAAGTAAGCCAATCGATTAGAGGTGGTCTGATACGCAGTCGTTTGAGCTTCTTGATAAGACATAAATGGTTAACCTTATCAAAAGCTTTTGAGAAATCTAGGTAGATGATATCAACCTTCCCCTTGTGATCGAGGATGCTCGTCCATCTTTTCACCGCAGTCAGAAGGTTGGTTATACAAGAGTAACCCTTCCTGAAACCATGCTGTTGTGGTGAGAAGAAATTTAAGGACAGTAAATAGTCATTTATACCATCACATATCAGGGACTCCATGATTTTTGAAGGTATTGAGAGAAGAGACACCGGTTGGTAACTTGAAGGTTCGCTGCGTCGACCCCCTTTGAAAATTGGTGTGATGTGAGCCAACTTCCAATTTTCCGGTAGTTTTCCTCGGCTTAGCGAGTGTGAGAGCATCACGCTAAGCGGCGTTGCCAGGATTGAGGCTGCTTCCCTCAGTATGGCAGAATGAACCATATCCGGGCCAGGAGAAGTGTCAATTCTTAAGTGTTGCAGTTTCCGGAACACCAAGTCAGCGCTCGGGTTCACTTCGGAAAGTCCTTCGAAGTTGCATATTAAGCTTTCGTCAGTATAGTTTATGTGGGTCGGTTGAAATGTCCGAGAGTATTGTCCAGCCAAAAGGTTAGCGGCGTCGCCGTCGTCACAGGTCGGGCTGTTAAGACCTAGCAGTTGGGAAACTCTAGTTTTGGTTTGACGAAGAGAGGCTGCATAACGGAATAAGCTTTTCGGATTACAGACAAATTTGTCCATAAGCTTTGTCTGGTACTGAAGCTTGTCTTCTCTTATGGCCTTCGTGCATATGTTCCTTATATGTTTATATTGCCTGTACGCTCAATTGTTGTCAATTCGTTTGTACTCTGCTCATCAGTGCCTTTTGCGGCTTAGCAGGCGAAGAGTGCGGTTCCTAATGATTGTTGGTTGCTGATAGCTATTGGGGACCGTTTGAGGAACTAAATGATTTGTAGCATATATGAACGTGTGCAGTAAGAAGTCCGAGTGAGCATCCACATCGAGTAGAAAATAAGGCCCTACGTAGTCAACGCCATGAATTATCAATAATTCGGCTTTTTAAATCCCGTGTGAAGTCAAATTCCCTTGGCACGACTAAATTCTTCATAGTTAGCGGAAGCATTGTTAACGACCCGAATGTTATATGCGAACAATTCAGCAAGCACTTCTCGCAGTGCTACAAAATTGGAACTGAAAGCTCTATTATTACACTTCCAATGGTGACATACAGATATCTATGGAAAACCGATTTTATACCCTCCATCATCAAGCAAGCCATAGCTGCCCTGAAAAGCCTTTTGATGGTGGGCCTGACGGGATCCCTTCATCATTTGTGAAATATGGGAGTATACATTTTTCACTATTTTGTTTGAAACTTTCCAACCCATCTATGGAATATGGGACCTATCCATCTGTGTGGAAAACATCTCTTATCACCCCTAAATTCGAAACAGGACCATGTAATGATATTGGTAACTGTAGGCCAATTAACTTGACATCCGTGCTATCAAGAACCATGGAAAATTCATCCACAAACAACAATTAACGTCTTTACTTTTGGCTAGTCGAATTAGCCCATCCCAACATGGGTTTATGACTAAACGCTCATGTTTCACATCGCATCTGGAATTTTTTGATTAAATTACTAAGAGAGGAGATGTTGGTCAGTCAGTGATAATTCTTTACTTCGATTTTAGTAAGGCTTTCAACAGTGTCTCACACAAACATCTTCTTTTAAAACTCTCTCTTCATTTGGCATACAGAATCCCCTTTTATCTTGACTCAAATCTTTTTTAGAAGAACGTAGCCAAATCGTTCGCTTTGAATCTTGCTACTCTCAACCTGTGAATAAAACAGTGGGGTTATACAAGGAAGTGTGGTTGGTCCATTACTCTTTCTCCTTTGTATCAATGATGTGTGTTCCCTCTTTCAATATAGCAAACCTTTTCTTTTTGCTGATGACCTGAAAGTGGTTTATTCATTCTCTTCTCCCACCGAAGAAAGATATATTTCAGCGGTAATCCAAGAGGAAATATACAAGTTGTACGAGTGGACTATTTCGTGGAATATGCCACTTAATGTTGACAAAAGTGGATTTATTCACATTGGTCGCTGTCTTAACTTAAATCTGACTGTACAGACACATGCACTCAAACCTCTCAACACTGTTCGTGACCTGGGTTTAAGATATAGCAACAGTCTGAACTTTTCTGAACACATTATATCTCAAGTATCCAAAGCTAGGAAGCTGATCGGATTGATAATGATAAACTTCAATAATATCGAATCGAGATTGTTACTATACAAAAAACGCATCTTACCCATTCTCGAATATGGTATTTTAGTTTACAGTAATTGTAGACATAATGACCTGATTAGAATTGAAGGTGTTCAAAGAAAGTTCACCAAAGCTGTTCTGGGATATTCCGATAACAAAGACTATTACCAAAGATGTCAACAACTCAACTTAGAA